TCATTCCAGCGCCCATTGGCACGGTACATTGAAACCTCACTACGGTTCTTCCAAGAGCTAAACTCGCGGTTGTAACACTCAAAGAAACCGCAGGCTAGAGCTGCAGGGTGGAGGCTTGAGCAGTTCGGGCCTGCCCATTGCGCATCGCGCCAGAGCGGGCCGCATCTCGATTTGCTCTCACCTCCCACTGTGTGAGGATCCCCTCCGCCCTCTTCTGGTTCCTTTTGCGGATTGTGGAAGAAGCGAAGAATCAGTCGCAGTCGCAGGCTCGAGTGACACGAAGGCCACCTTCCTCGCGGAGCAGGCCTGGCCCTCAGGCCCACGACCCCATCCCGCGTCGATACTCCCGAGCCCGACAGAAAGGCGATGCAACGGGCGCATGGGCAGCTGGAGGCCGCAGCGGCGACGCTGGGCCCGCCCCGCAAGGCGAGCTTCAGGATTCAAGCTTTCGCTTCGGGCCGTGGCCTGCAGTCTTCAGGTGACCTTGAAGGAGTTCCTTTTGGACCCAACCTTCGAGCCTCCCCTGGTGGAGTACACGGTGGAAGAGAGTGACGGCGTCCACCGTGCACGAGTGGCTTTCGCCGGAGTCTCACACGCAGGTGCGGCAGAGCCGCTGCGCTCTTCTTGTCATGCTGCTGTTCTGCTTTTCGTTCATGCCAGGTGCACCCGCATCCTCCCAAGAGGAGGCAAGGCTGAGTGCCGCACTGGTGGCTTTGCGCTCGCTTCGAGCAAAGCATCGCAACGGGGAGAAGCATGGACATCAGGTCGCCAGACTTGTATTGTAGAGATCATGTTGTTGTCAGTTGTTGTTTACTTTGCAACCGAAATGGTCAGGTGCTTTGTTTCCGTAGGGCCTGTGCGAACGGTGTTTCAAGTTTCGCCATCTGGATGTGATATAGACTGCCTATCTTCAACAGCACAGCGCGAAGGCAACGGAAAGTGCACCGCCCAGTTGGAGGCGACATCTTGAACAGCTGCTTTGTTTTGGAGCTTCGGCCGTCGATCCACGGAGGGGACAACCGAGACCATTGTCGTTTGTGGCAGCCTCGTATCGCGGGGGGATGATGGGGATGAGGAATATGGTGCGCATGGGGATGAGGACCATGATGAGGACTACGACGGCGAGGATAAGGGGTGAACCTCTTTCGCGAACTCTGGGCGGCCCGAGACGTTTTCAGGACATCCGTCCTCAAACATGGAGATGGGCTCCGGCTGGTGGGCGGGTCCGGTGCAAACCACATGATGGCGTGCGAGGCAGCATCATTCATCGTCAACTTCAACACCTATACTGCACTATAGATCGAATTTACCGGCAG